CACTGTGGCAGCGGCTGACACGGTGCAGGGGTGTATGTAGATACGTCAGGTTCTCAGCTCCATGACTCTGGTCAGCTTCAGAGGAGATGCGTGACACAGTCTGGCGGACCGCGACTAGAGGGCCGCTTGCTGCTGCCATGCGCACCGTGACGTCTTCTGACGCAGTGTCTGACCCCCTTTGGAGTCGCCCTTCGGGGTCAGCACCGCCCGGGGCTCCCTGTGACATTGGTAAAGGACCTTCCGCCGGCTGCTTTGCCGTTGCTGTGCCGATGAGGTCCTAAATCGCCTTCTTAACCAGATGGCATTCCGGTGTGCTGTACAGTACAACACTATACGCTGGCATGTATTGGTGCACTGACATGAGGTTAGCGTATGTGGCGGATCAGAATAAGCCCAGGCACACGAGCTTCTGAACTCATTTCACGGGAGATGCTGAACAGAACAGCTATAGCTACAGACCATTTAACATGAGCCACGGTCGGCACCACAGTTGGGTACAGTCGGAGGTTAGTGTGACACTCATCCCATTCTCTGTGCTCCGCGGAACAGTCCAGCCGCGCAGGAAGCCAAGCGTTTGCACACCCAGAAAATAAAAATGCGGGCACACAAATCATCCAGTAAACTAAACCGGTCAGATTTCACTTTCGATGAACAGTGATGCAATTCGCACAGCGTGACTAGTGAGTAGCCAGGGGAAGAAAAATGACTGAAACTGGCCCAAAATACACAACTATGCAAGGCCACTAATGACGTATCATAATAAAAGCACACACCTTAGGTGTATGTATGATAGTGTGAGAACCACACACTGGCAAACCTGCCCGTTATCCAAACCTTAACGTGCTAGGAGATTAACCAGTGCGACTTCTTAACTCTAGCCTGTATACGCTCAGGAAATGAGCGGGTGCCTCAAAAAGGTATCGGCTTCGCCGTCAAAATGGCCCGCTTACCTCCAGAGGTGGAAGCCTTATGCTCCTTGCTTGGCTACGCCACTGAGCCTTACTGTTCCCCCAGCGGCTGTGCGGGCTGGAGTCCCAGTGTTCCTTCTGAGCTTCACGTGATTTAGCCTTATTGACCTTTCTGTGTACGCTTGCCAGAAGTCTCACTGTCCCTGCCCACCCCTCGAGGGATGTAACCACGCGGCCGCTCCTGAGCCCGTGCGTGATATGGCCCCGCGGCTGCTCCTGAGCCCGTGCGTGATATGGCCCCGCGGCTGCTCCTGAGCCCGTGCGTGATGTGGCTCCGCGGCTGCTCCTGAGCCCGGTGTGATGTGGCCCCACAGGTGCTCCTGGCCCGTGCGTGATGTGGCCCCGCAGGTGCTCCTGAGCCCGTGCGTGCTGTGGCCCCGCGGCTGCCCCTGAGCCCGTGTGTGATGTGGCCCCACGGCCGCTCCTGAGCCCGTGTGTGATGTAGCCCCGCTGCCCCTTCTGAGCCCCCGTGTGTGTAGCCCCGCGGCCTCCCCTGAGCCCGCGTGTGATGTAGCCCCGCCTCCCCTCCTGAGCCCGCGTGTGATGTAGCCCCCGCTGCCCTTCTGAGCCCCGTGTGATGTACCCCGCGGCCTCCCCTGAGCCCGCGTGTAATGTAGCCCCGCCTCCCCTCCTGAGCCCGCGTGTGATGTAGCCCGCCCTCCCCTCCTGCGCCCCGTGTGATGTAGCCCCGCTGCCCTCTGAGCCCCGTGTGATGTACCCGCCTCCCCTCCTGAGCCCGCGTGTGATGTAGCCCCGCTGCCCTTCTGACCCCCGTGTGATGTACCCCGCGGCCTCCCCTGAGCCCCGTGTGATTGGCCCCGCCTCCCCTCCTGAGCCCCCGTGTGATGTACCCCGCCTCCCCTCCTGAGCCGCGTGTGAGTAACCCCGCGGCCTCCCTGAGCCCGCGTGTTATGTAGCCCCGCCTCCCCTCCTGAGCCCGCGTGTGATGTAGCCCCGGCCTCCCCTCCTGAGCCCGCGTGTGATGTACCCGCCTCCCCTCCTGAGCCCGCGTGTGATGTACCCCGCCCCCCTCCTGAGCCCGCGTGTGATGTACCCCGCGGCCCCCCTGAGCCCCCGTGTGATGTAGCCCCGCCTCCCCTCCTGAGCCCGCGTGTGATGTACCCCGCCTCCCCTGAGCCCCGTGTGATGTAGCCCCGCCTCCCCTCCTGAGCCCGCGTGTGATGTACCCCCGCCTCCCTCCTGAGCCCCCGTGTGATGTACCCCGCGGCCTCCTCCTGAGCCGCGTGTGATGTGGCCCCGCGCTCCCCTCCTGAGCCCCGTGTGATGTACCCGCCCTCCTGAGCCCCCGTGTGATGTGGCCCCGCCTCCCCTCCTGAGCCCCGTGTGATGTAGTCCCGCCTCCCCTCCTGAGCCCCCGTGTGATGTAGCCCCGCTGCCTTCCTGAGCCCCGTGTGATGTACCCCGCGGCCTCCCCCCTGAGCCCGCGTGTGATGTAGCCCCGCCTCCCCTCCTGAGCCCCCGTGTGATGTAGCCCCGCGGCCTCCCCTGAGCCCGCGTGATGTGGTCCCGCTCCCCTCCTGAGCCCCGTGTGATGTAGCCCCGCTGCCCTTCTGAGCCCCCGTGTGATGTAGCCCCGGCCCCTCCCGAGCCTCGCAGCTCAGGGCCGCTCATTTACCGGTCGTTATCCGATTTCCCGTATCGTTCACGCTTGTCGCCGCCCTGTCCGGCAATATCGCGGCGGGGCCGACGGCGGCAGCGCCCCGGGCGGCCCCGGCGGCCCCCGGCCGGCGCTAATCCGGCTGTTAGCGGCCGGCCGGCGCCGCTGCCGCCGGCCGCCACGTGCCGGTCCTCACCCGCCGACAACCCGGACACGTGCCGCACGTCCGCGTCGACGCGGGGCCCGCGCCGATGGTAGCAGGCCTGGCAGGCCGATGGGTTCACGGTAGCGAGGGGCTTCGTTCGCTGAGGCGCAGGGGAGGGGTCGGGTGTGGGTACATGAACGGCCTCCGTTGTCGCCGCGGCAGGAAGCCGTGTGTGGGTCCGGTCCGGGGGTCATGACATGCTGGTGTTGTCCGAAGAGTAGGGGGCGTCGTGTGGGCTTGCTACTTCCATGAAGTCGTGTAGGAGTCACGACATGATATTGCTGACCTTCCCTTACACGTTTCTGAACGCGGATATGGCTCTAAAGATAACGTTTCAGCGATGTTACATGCGTTGGGTCTAGGAGAGCCGCCTGAGCATTCTTTGTCGCGCCGCTAATTACATTTGATTTCCAAGATATTGTGGCGTAAAGAGAACAGCACTTTGCAAAAATGCAGGAGCTTTGAACAAAAGTTTTCAAGTATGTTGCATCCCATTTTGAGTTTCTGCGGCAATGTTACCACAAATAGCCGATTTACATTAGTGGAGATAATGTTGCTTGCCATGGCTGCAGCCGTTCAGCCTTCCCGCAAGGCTAAGTAACGAATTTAAAGCGTGCTTTAGCACCGCTCGATTTCCCTGTAAATCTGCATACAAGTCCGGGGAAATCGGTATTTAACACGGCTAACATGCTGCACATGTAAGTGCAGAAGCTCTTAGCAGAAAAAGCTAGTTCCATCCACAGCGTAAATAATCCAAACTCTGGACCACGCCATCATCAGCGCTTGGGCCAGCATGGAATGGACGATTATTTGATCCCTGGAGATTAACATCCACCTCGTCAAATTCTCAAGTGGGAAAAATCCTGTACACTGCACAGCCACCACGCCCACCCAGCACGCGGCGGGGCCCCACGAGAACACCAACAGCACCCCACACGGCGCGGGCACCCTCTCACCGCCTGCGTCGCCCTCTCCGATTGATTGGTTGCGGAGGAGATGGCAGCGTACCCATCAGGCGTCGGATAAATCACCGCAGCCGCACCGATCGCCGGCGTGTGCGCGCAGGCTCGCACATTAATACGTATGCGTCAGTCGGCCAATACCGGCGGCTGTGGCGGAGCGTGGGCCGGCCCGTTCTGCCCGGTACCGACGCCAGCCAGCATGGTCGGCGAAGGGATTTTCTTCGCCCGCTGAATCCATCAGCAGTACACCCAGATGACTAGGCTGTTCCGGCGTTTCATTCCCGGGATGACAAATAATCTTTCAGCCGACCGATTTATCTTTATCATCCTTCATCTTTGTACAATAATATTATTTTCAACCTCAATATCATAAAAGCTCTTTCTCCCATAATCTTACATCATCGCGTCGGGCGGTGCCGGTCGCTGATTGGTCGGCGAGAAAATACGAGCGCCGCCATTGGCCGACGCGGCGCGGCTCCTCAAGGCCTCGGTTTAATCTCGGATATGGCATATAAAACATCATATTTCCCAATGGTTTCTGCATAATGTGACGTGATAGAAGAGGCGGAATGGGGGCATCCCATCAACTCAGCCGTGCAAGATAAGGGAATTTTGTTAGCTGAGGTGGTTTATTGCCGGAGAACGGCACCCGAGTCGGTCGGAATAGGCCTTCACTCAGCGCGCCGACAACTTTCCAAGAACTGGGGCCGGCTCGATGGGTCGGCGCGCCCGACGACGTTTTCATGCCGGCTCACCAAGTTGGAGGATGACTTCATCGGGGCGATGTCGGTCGCATTTCATCGAACATTCATACACTGTCAAACGGATGACTCGGACATCAATCTATTGGCGTATTTACATCGCATTTCTGGATATCACATTAAAAGAGAATAGCACTGACGTGACTTCTAGCCGACAGGCCTGACAGCCACTGGGGTTTAATATAAAAGTTTTGATGGCGTTGTCTGTATACTATGTACAAGCGTGGTGGACTGGAGTGATGGGCAGTCCACGATAAACTCAAGAGCAAGACCTTACCTAATTCCAAACACCGAACAACGCATTGCGAGTACAGAAGCGGGCGCGTCGCGAGGCGCCCGTCTACACTCAGTCCGACCGGCCATCTGTACTGGTCAGCGTGGCGACACCGAGGGCCCAGACGGCCAATCACAGGCACGCCTCAGCAACGTCACTCTCGATTCCGTCCGCCACTCTCTCGCCTCCCCCCCCCCCCCCCTCTCCCCCGCCCCACCGCCTGGCCGGCCGGCGCGTCCAAAGCGTGCAACTGCGGTAACATGTGAACATGGTTATGTACACATTTAACAATGACTAGCGATAAATGGGTGTGGCTGGGCGGCCGTGTCAGCCTACTCGTCCGTCTCGTACTTGATCTTCTTGGCGGCTCGCTCGTCGTCCGAGTCGGAGCCGGGTTCGGTGCCCTCCACCGCCTCCTCCTGCTTCCGCTTGGCCGTGGCCATCTCTGCCGCGTGACGCTTCCGCCACTTGGTCCGCCGGTTCTGGAACCAGACCTGCAACGGCGCGACGGCAATGTCAGGGCCGGGCTCGGGATGTGGGGCCGGGGTCTCGGGTAAGCGTCACAGACGAGACAGAGAAGAGCAAAAGAGAGAGGGAGAGAGGGAGAGAGGAAGAGAGCAGAGCAGGATGAGGAGTGAGCTCGAGAGATGGTGGATAACACATTATTTGTGTCACACAATTGAACAGCCTCAAATGTTATCGTTTCGACAAAGCCATGTTGCCGAAATGTCAACTCACATAATTTTCTGGTTTTCTCCGAGGAATAAGTCTATTGCTGCTGTCTTTTCTATGTAAATAATGTTCCTCGCAAACGCACTGAACAGCTTACGTAAGCCTCAAATGCTGCATTGAGCTGTGTATGATTGTGTGTTAACAGTTTTTGAATATCTTGGAAGGGAGATACCCCACTGTATGAGACCACCATATAAGTCGTATACAGTGGGGTATCATCTCCCTTCCAAAATATTCAAAAGTTCCTAACACACGACCATACAAATAAATGCAGCATTTGAGGCTCTATGGCTGTGTTTTGCTATATATATATATATATATATATATATATATATATATATATATATCTCTCTCTCTCTCTCTCTCTCTCTCTCTCTCTCTCTCTCTCACACACACACACACACACACACACACTCACTCTGAAATAAATAATCTTACGAAATTGAAATTAAAATATTTGGTTATTTTGGTGTTTTCCACCCTTGCCCAGTTCACATGCTCTTAAGCGAGCAGCCTTTGCCTCCCTTCTGGTGCAGGGAAGGGATTTTGTTCGTACTTGTACATTGCCTGCTGCAGGTACTCCATATATATGCGAGTTGTTCTGATACATGAATTTCTTCCCACCGGGAATCGATATCAAATTTCCCACTTGCACAATAGGGACATCCTGCATCATTCCTCTGGGAACTCCTCAGCTGTATCGTAGGAACGTACGTATATCGGGTGATAGCTGTTGCTACTTCCATGTAACCTGCTATGACCGACTCCTAATAAAACTCACTTTAAGTATCGCAGCTCAGTAAAGGCCCGGGCCCGCGTCACGCTGTCCGGGAGGCCGGGTCCGGCGAGACCTATTGTTTGCCTTCACTTCACCCTGTCGACGGGCCGCTGACGCATGGTGTTTGGCTACAGATGTGACAAAGCCACTTGTTCATAGCTTGGAAGATATGCCTCTGTTCGCCCATGTAGACGACGGATTTGTGGTCCCATGCTTGTTTGGGGCGATAGTCTGCGCTCGCACACAGTAAGCACGACAATCTGGGAAAGTACGACTTCCCACACCCTCGACGATTCTAAGACGATTTGAAGAAGCTTATTGGTGGGAACAGCTGTACATACGCGCTATGCAGGGACGTATGCATAATTTTGCAAGCACATAAGCAATTCAACTTTTCATGGACCTGGCTCGAAATAAAAAATTACAAACATTGACAATGCCATGTAAACATGTGCGAGTGTGTAAGGGTGCGTGCATCCAGCATCCAACATCCATGAATCTTCCCATTACGCTCGCTTGTGCTTTCTGCTTTCAAAATAATTTTGAATCATTTCCACTAGAACTGTAAGTATCAATATGTGTGAAGCAAGTCACCGAACAGCTTTTCTTGGGTTACAACAAAAAAAGTTGTTCCAAATTTTTCCAGTGTGGCATTTTAATCAAGCAAATATCTTACGAATTTGGCCGTTAAGGCAAACGTCCTGTTTGAAATTACGCTGCCTATTAGGTTAAACGAAACATAACAAATGGAAATACCATCGCATTCGTATTTATGGCCACATCCAAACAGATATACCCTATGCGGTGCGTTCAATTTGAGTGTGTCTTCCGCATCGTCTAAGTCACATTCCTATACAAATCCATTAACACCCACTAACCCGGCTTCATTTGAAGCAGAACCATCCCAAAGCTCCGCATCGTTCTCAACAACCGCGCTCGGCATCGCCAGCCGTCTCCATCGCGGCCGCAGCGGCAACAGAGACAAAAACCCGCCCCTCGCCCTCGCCTCGGCCGACGCAATCGCTCCGGGACCTAATGAGCCCTCGACCGACGCACAGCTGCGTTCGCCCCGGTCCGCCGGCAGGCGGCTGCCTACAGCCCGCTGGCAGCGGCGACCGGCGTCGGCACCCCGGACGGACCGCCCCGCCCCGCGCCCCGCCGGCCTCTGTCGCGCCATTTACCTCATCTAGGCAACAGACGGTCGGGGCGGACTGGGGCGCCGTCCACCCGCCCTCGCCGTATTTTGTGCAAATATACCGAGCGGCGGGGACGGACCGCGCGAATTTTCACCGCCCGCAGAGAGCAGTCGGCAATAACGGGCGGCGACGGCCGGTCGTTGGTAGTCGGCCCCCACTCGCCGGTCCATTGTCGCCGAATGGGCCATCGCGGGACTCGGCTAATCAATTGAGATGTTGAACAATTGGAGCGATAAATTGTGTCGATGAACGCTGCAATGATAGTCGATGGTTTCGTCGCAGCGTCAGCCGGGCCGATCTGAAAGTTATCGGCGCCACGATGGCCACGCGGCCGGCCGCGGCGATGGCCGGGCAGAAAATGAAATTTCAGCGTCGCCCGTGGGACGTGCCGACCGGCGCAGAGGCTGAACTACGGACGGAGGCGCGTCCCCCAGCTCACGGTGGCTGCCAGGGGTGTGGAACCGCTCAAGGCAGTCCGCTTATGCTGTTCATAATTGCACACACACACGCACACACACACCTACACACACACACTCTTATTTGATAAATTTGCATATATATATACACACACATATATATATATATATATATATATATATATATGCATATATGTATACGTATATATGTATGAATCTTAGCAAAACTTAGCACATACTATGAGTAGATATCATCCAGCACTAAGTGTTGTCATTTATTCGTTTAGGTTCTGTATTATAACAAGGCATGAATGCGTAAAGCTTGAAATCAGCTGGTGCTGAAATATCCAGTACTAAAACACTGATTTCTATAAGCTGTTGTGACTAACTTACGCTGTCTGAAATAATAGATTGTGGCCCGAAACACAGACCGCAGCTGCCGTCAACGAGCATCATTCTCCTTTGAACACTTAAGTTAAACGGAGTGACCCACATTTATGTGGGGTTTTGAACTGAAACAGCCATCTTGGAGACCTTCCGGTGCTGTTCACAATTCTAACCTTCTTAAGACCTAAGCCCCTGTAGTTTCTGAGCTACACGCCCGCGAAAATGAAGGAAAGGCATGGCGGGGAGATCATTTCAAAGTTACCTCGGCATTTATGGCGTCACAATAATGTCATTCAATTCCTGCCATTCCATAACCCATGGCGATTTCCACATATAACTAGAGTTAATTGGCTTTCAATCAACGTTGCGCAATGTACGATGACGTAATCAAATCATGCGCATGTAGGAGGAGCATGAGAGAGAGACAAAGAGAGAGAGAGAGAGAGAGAGAGAGAGAGAGAGAGAGAGAGAGAGAGAGAGAGAGAGAGAGAGAGAGAGGAGAGAGAGAGAGAGAGAGAGAGAGAGAGAGAGAGAGAGAGAGAGAGAGAGAGAGAGACAGAGAGAGAGAGAGAGAGGGAGAGAGAGGAGAGAGAGAGAGAGAGAAGAGAGAGAGAGCATGTGCTGAGCAGAGAGTTATGCTGTCTAGAGCAGGTTTTCCCACTTAAAAGCATGCCAATAGTTATAAGTGAGCTTGTTTCTTCATATCTGATGCTTACTTCAGCATCTTCAGATCTGAAGCATTTCCTTTAAAGCAGCAAGCAATACTTGCAACAAACTTGACAGATACTAACTTGCCTTAAACAGTGGCGTACTAACATCACAAAACAGTTGGAGACTCGGCGCCATTTATAAAGCCATCCGGTTCTATAGTGTATGACATCGGGTTAAAGCTAATTTAGCGGTATTATATTTGCTTTTTATTTCCATGAAAATGTGTGTTAAGCATACACATTGAAGCAATCTTGTTTGACTCAAGCGAACAGTTCGTAGCCTTGTACTGATACCGGACGAATGACCATGAATGTGTGATCTTTGTTCCAGTTTAAGGTAAGGGCCTAAAATCGCAATCTCGAGCTGAGCGTTTGGGCATGACTACCATATTTAAGCGTCACAAAGATCACACGGCATGACTTAAAACGTACGGATCGAAACTCATACATGTAAGACTCAGTTAACATTGCTTATTTGTGTATGTTCTCAAAAAACAAACTTATACGACAATCTGCAGTTAGTTTGTGCACTGCGCTCTCAAAGAAGAAGAAAAGTACATGCTTATGCCTGCTTATGCTTATTGTCGCTACGCTTCGTCTGTAAACATGGTTATGACCATAAGTGTGGTAACGAACGCCTTTTGGACGTATTTTCCAGCGTGTTCGTTATTGCCATACAGCCGTGGTTCACGCCGCGTGTCGGTGAGCAAAAACGTGTCCAACCATACGGATATTATACACTTTGTGTCGACATTTTGAGCTTATGGAGCAGCTCACTGCTTTATAAACCAAATTCAGGCGCAAAATGTATGGTAGGAGATCATCACCGCTGTCCTGCACATATTGCTTGGAAAAGCGTTCCCAGAGTGCACGACGCGCATGTGTGGAGCACATTTTTCGTTGGTACATACGTGTGCGTGTCAAAGTTGAAACAAGATATTGGCGAAAATCGGGCAGTTTTTTGTGCTGGGACGCCATTTATTAGTGCTATTGTGACGCAATGGAAACTAAAATGTTCGACAATGACATGTCGTTTTCGGACATGCTGCCTCTGAATGGCAAAGTCAGACCCAATTTTCAAATGCGTCTCTGCAATATGTTTCGCACCACACATTTGGCTAGGACGCCACAGCAAACAGCCTGAGTAAGATAAATAAAATCACGTCTCTTTGAAACAGACCCTCGCCCCTCGATATAGAGACCTGCAATGCCCATCAGCACGCGTTTAACATGTCGACATGGTTTGAAAACACTTAATACACGCCCACTCTCGCT